TGACCTGTTCGAGCATTTTTGCCAAAACAAAATATTTGCAGTTTTAATAAAATTATTCCATAATTAAAGAAATAAGAAAACTTCGTTATTTTTAATAGCAATTTATGTTTTTTACTGAGCTTGAGAGAGTTTTTATCAGACTTCCCTATACCTATTGAAATATTTAGACTTTTTTTGAATTTTTTTTCATTTGCATCTTCCATTTTTATTTATTTTGAAATCGTATTTGAGCATTTTAAAGTTAAATTCTGTAGCGGTAAAAAAATACAAGTACTTGGATATTTATCTAAAATTTTGATTATGGCCATGTAGTTTAGATCCTGCTCAATGATAATATTTTCAAGATGGCAGCACTTCGGTTACACCGGAAATGGGTATCAATTTTGTTATTTTAAATAGAAAGTTGTTGCGTTTTTGGATTACTCAAGTGATTTTAAAAGAGATTTTAACAGACTTCCTTATACCTAAATTTAACCGTTTTTGAAAAATTTAGACTTTTTTGAAATTGTTTTAATTTGCATCTTCCTCTCCAAAAATCGATAACTCTACCATATTTAATTATTTGGAAACCGTTTTTGCTCATATGAAAAATAAAGGTTAGATCTTTTCTTTCGTGCATTTATAATTGGAAAAATAATTAACAAATCCCCAAAATTTAAGGTTACGTTTGGAAAATTTCAAATACCCATAACTGATTTTTTTCAAATTGAAGACCCCAATTTTTTCTTTACTAAATAAAAAAGAATTTAACTCTGCATCGATCTGTATCAACATTCCCAATACCTAAATTTAATGATTTCCAAGTTATTTTGACTTTTTTTACAATGGAAAAAATTCATTACCATCCATGGTAGTTTTCGCATAGTTTGCTAAGGAAATATTTCTCACTGAAAAAACGCCAAGGTTTTTTTCACACTTGTGTTATTCTTTTCCTTACAAATTAAATTTATTTAATCTAAATTTGAATAACTTTGATATTCCATTTTTTTCTTATTTCTATGACATCCTATGCAAGTAGCTAATGAACTCCGAAATCTTCTAATGTGTTATCTTCAAAAAAAAATTCCAACAGAAATTTTGCTAAATTAAGAAATTGTTATAGAAGATTTTCAAAATACCAAGATAAATATATTTTATGTATTATTTATTATTGTTGTTATTCACGACGAATTTTATAGAAGAGCGAATATTGACAACAAGCTTAAATAAAAAATAACATATTAGTGTTGGAAAAAAATCTAGATATTTTTAGCCCATTCTATTAACATTAATTCAATATTACTCCTAAATAAAAAAATCTGGTGTGAACATCTCACGACTTTTCTTATTCTACTTATTTAGAAAACATCCTAATAACGACAGTAATTTGCGTTAGTGTCACTTGCTGGATTATACACACACACACACACACTAATAAAAAATTACCAAATTTTGAAAAATATGAAGTGGTCACTTCCTTATCAGTTTTCGGGTTGGGAAGTGGCAATTTCGCAACGTGAACTATCATATTACATATTAACGGATAAAGAAGTGACCACTCCCCAACCTAAACCTGATATATCCTATCAATTGTCAAATAAAGCAGAAATAATTTGATTATTACTTTATGATTGTGGATAAAGGGGTTTTAATCCGGCCACGCTTTATTCCGAACCTCTTATAATGAGTTTTTGCATCTGGCGAGTTCTATTACTATTACTCTTGAAGTAGATGAAAGAAAAATAAATTAAATCACTCTTCAGAATTTAACTTCTTGCTTTTACATAATTATTATAATGGCCAGTAGATTATAAGAAATCAAAACCGATCATTGGTAAAATCGTGGATGTGTACTCAATAAAATCAAAAAGAATCTTTCTTATTGTATTATTTTCTCCTCGATTTACTTATGCAGCAAAAACCAATATCAAAAAAGAATAAAAAGGTAGTGGATGTTCATTCAATTTCACTAGTTGCTAATAAAAATGCCACAACAGGAATTTAAAAAAAATAAAAAAAATTAAAAAAAACATTTCTTGTATGCATTGGTAATAATTTTTGGTGTAATAATGATTCAAAAATGATTTACAAAAAGAATATTTTCTTATCTAGTAGAAAAATAAGTATTATCAGTAATGTTTCACGACTCAATATATTTACATTATTTTTAATTACATCCAGATTTGATTGCAGTTGAAAATGTTTTTGCAGTTAGTTCTGGAATTATCCTAGGTTAATTATAGATTGTGATCAAGAATATCTTTCAAAACGGCAGCGATGATTCGGTGGGATACAAAAGCTATTATATTGAGATGATTTAAAATTATTGAAGCGACCTTACATAACCAACACTTGGATACAGAATTCAACCTGTTTTTATTGACTTTTTGTAAACCTAGTGCGATTTGATTCGACTAAATGTGTTATTAATAATATAATTTGATTGAAAGATTGAGAAAGATGTTATTTAATTATTAACGCCACAATTTATCGAGTCTTAAGCTAGAGTATCCTTGTCAAAAATTGAGACAATACAAGAAGTGATTTATATTCACTCAATTTTATGATTTTGTTTTTTGAGCGAATGATTAATTTAAAATTTTGCAACAAATATGTCAGAAAAAAAACAAATTTCTTTTTATTGCACTAGGAACTAATTTTTACTTTCCTTATCCTATAAGGATTGGTTTTTGCCCCTTGTAGCAAGGGGACGTAGCACGAAACAATAGGTAAAAATCGGTTCCAGAAACTTGTTTTCTTTTATAGACTCATTATCTGAATTTCAGCTTTATTATTCTCATTTTCGAGCTTTTAAGAAAATAATATGAAACAACAAAGCATGTTTTTGTTTATAGTTGAGCAGGTGCTAGAAAAATCTCACATTTAAGATAAACAAAACGAGAAATTTCGCTGAAAGCAGGAAAATGTGTATGCGATACACAACATACTCGTATTTGCGAGAATCCTTTGGGAAATGTTGGAAATTATGACAAAAATATAAATTACCTAAATGTGTATTTGTATTATTAATTAAATGACTTCAGTTCAAATACAAATAGAACAAAAGGTTTGTTAACAGGTTTGTTTTGTTGACCGTATTTACCGTGGCTATATTTCAACTTAACCCTTTTCGCAGTAAATTAAAGAATAATAGTAAATATTGTTATTATGTAAATTTATAGTCGATTTTGTTTGTTTTGAGTATATTTTAAAAATTAAACATTTCCATTCGGATTGAAATCCGTTTTTGTGACGTTTATATTGGACAAGCTTTATTACACAAAATACCAACACATTTTTTCGTTTTCTCAAAGTTGACAAATTATCAACCACATAATAATATTTAGATACAACCCAAGTTGTAAAATTTTTTGACTTGAATTTTTGTATTACTTATTTGCATTTCTTATTTCAAATTCTACTTTGGGATTCTTCGATGAAATCCTGTTGCATAAATGAGTAGATTCTGAAATAATAATTCACTGAGATCATTTAAATATTTAGAAAATCGGTTTTTGTCCGAACTTGAGGTGTTGCCATGCAGGAAATCTTACATTTTGTAAAAAGAATTGAAAAGAAGCCATTTGAAGGACGTTTCAGTCTGCACAATGCTGAAAATTTGTTGGTGAGATTTTTTCCGTAACGAGTAATTTTTTAGTTACTATTTAAAAAAAAAACAGAACTTACCATTTTTGGATACCACTGAAAAAAAAAAGACAACAATTAGATACAAGACAATAAACAAGTGGAAAAGTTTTAAACTTTTAAAGTTAATCTTGAAATTCCTGAAGCTTATTAGACTTTTCCGTCTCATCTACCCACCTTTCAGTGAGATGTAATCTTTAATGTTAAAAGTTGACTTTATAAAAGTACAATTTGTTAAAAATTCCATTAGGTGAACGAGTCACTAGGGAAGAAAAATCGATAACAATTTGTATACAGAAATCAACTAAGTAAACAAATGTGGAGTGTTTTACTAAAATAAAATCCCATCCATATAAATGTAAATAACTAACCGTTTTTACCCATAAAAATATTAACCAAGGGAAACAGAAAAATGAAGAAAACAGCTGTTTCTGTCATAAATCGGATGTTTTCTCATATAGCTTTTAATTAATTTCTTATGTGTCTTTGTTTCGTCTAACGATAAAAGATGAAACAGTTTTGATATATGATTATAATTATTACACTGTGTTGTGTAGAACTTTAGAAAAGCTAAAAATGTATCGCTAGCACTCGGAGCATGTTTAAAAATATAAGGTTTGATAAGATTAATATTCCTGACGTAAAATATAGGGGTAATTCGTTGTTTATCTCAGACCTTTAAATGAATTCACTCGTTTTTTTGTTGCAATGTGGGGGATTTTGTATGCAAAAAATATTTTTTCAAGACAATTTCAAAGTCAAAAGTAGTTCCATTGATTTTGTTTCAATAATGTTTCTTCGATCACTGTCACTTTTGATTTCGACGACACTGATCCTCCTAAATGGGTTCTCCATGTTTGAAACATTTACATCAAGTCGCTTGTTCATTAATTAGATTTTGGTTTGCACTGTACAGGGTGTTCCGTTTTTATTGTTACAAATTTGAACAGGTAAAAGAATATTCAATTTTAAGACCAAAGTTTTCTATAACCATGTATCAAAAAATGTTTTGTAAAGGAGCTACACCCTCTGAAAGGGGTACGTTTTTAAAGGGGTTGTATCGAAAAAACGTAAAAGAACTCCTTTTTGTGAAAAACTATGGAATTTAAAATTTTATTGCTGAAAGTGGCAAGAAACTTCAGCAAAAATAGTTAGAGTTTTTTTAATCCTAAAAATAAACCAAACAATATACCATTTTCAACTTAATTTGTTAATTTTTCGGCCCATTTGGGTGAAATTTTACTTGAAAAAAGGCAAAACTGATTTTGTTTTCGACCCCTAATTAGGGTATTTTAGCAAAATTCTGTGAAAAAAAACAGTTTTGGCTCTAAAACGTTTTTATTCGCTTGAAAATAAATGGAATTAATACAATTTTTTGCCTAATTAATTTTTGGGCATTTTGGGCATCAAAACAATTGAGATGTTTACTCAAAAATAAGCAAAAAACACCATTTTGTATCTAATTAGGAGATTTTTAGGCTTACTTGAGCAAAATGTCGCAAGGGAAAAGTGCATTTTTTAAACTGAAAAAGTCAAAAAGAATGTTATTTTCGACCAAGTTTGGTCATTTTTTGCCAAAATTTTGCAAAATCTTTTAACCCAAAAACACGTTAAACGTTTTAAAAAGTGTTTTTTTGCTTGTGAATAATTTTTTTCGAGAAAAAGTGGGTATTTAGGTCACCAAAATAAATACAGTACGACAAACTAAAATAGAACGGTAATTTGAATCTAGTTTAGGTGATTTTGTGGCCTGTTTTAGCGAAATTTTGCGAAAAAAAAGTTTTTAGCTGAAAAACATTCTTTTACTCTCGAAAATGTCAAAAATAGAATTATCTTCGATCTAATTTGGTAATTTTTGGGCCTTTTTGAACAAAATTTTCTACTAAAAAGGTTCAAAAATAATTGAAACGGCAAAAATATTATCATTTCCGAACTAATTTGGTAAGTTTTGGTCTGTTTAACGAAAAAAACACAGTTTATTAGCTTAAAAAAGCAAAAATAGGACAATTTTTATCGACTTTTTGACTGGTTTGGACAAAATTTTGCAAAATAATTGCATTTCTGGTTGAAGAACTTTCTTAAACACTTGAGAAAGTGAAAAATAACATAATTTTCGATTTAATTTCGTGATTTTTTATAGTGTGTCGATGAAATCTTATTCATAATTTGAGTATTTATCTTAAAAACATGATAAAACGTTCAAAAAAGCATAAATAGTTTGATTTTCGGTAAAAAACACAACAAAACTAGTGTAACATGAATATTAAAAAGATTTTATTAAAAAAGTTGTATCGAAAAAACGCAAAAGATCTCTTTTTGTATACAAAAATTTATTTTTGTGTTTTATGGGATGTATAATAATTTTTTTGTTGATTGTAATTTTTTCCAAGAACTAGACCAAAAACATCAAAAATTATAACGTTTTATAAGCAAATATAATTTTATTTATTAAAAAAAATGTTTACATTTGGGTTAGATAGTTATTTACAAATTTATAAGAAAATTACAATAACTCTCTATTATTTCTTCAATACTTCGAATAAAAGACACAAGGATTAATTTTATTCTCTATTAATTAGTTCTCTATATTATTCTCTATTATTTTTTTGATTTGAGAAAACCCCTTGAGAATTTCAAAGTTGTTTTGGATGGAGCTTAAAAAACTTGACTTCTTCTTGCAAATTCATAATCTTTGGAGAAGTGTTGCAAAACAATTGTAACAAATTTACAAATTTGTTTTTTATAATAATTGTTCAGTTGAGTTATTTTATTAAAACTAAATTAATCAATTTTAATTTTTGTGTATTAAAAAAATATCCTAGCTATTGGAGAACTAATAACCAAATTATTACCAAAAAATTACTTCTAACTTTAATACAATAAGATTTGCAAATTAATTTAGAATACGAATAAAACAAACACTATTTTAGTAAGAAAAAAAACCTCCCACATAATAAATAATCTACAATTTTTTTTAATATCAAAACGAATTAAAGATTTATTAGTCTACACAACACCCATCCGGAATTACAAAGAATTGAGGCGGCATTTAATAATCTTCAACCAAATGAAATAATGGAAGCCACTCAAATCAGTTCACCATCGAGTTTTGACTGTTTGAAAATGGTAAACATATCGAACATCTGTATTAATTATAAGTATATCTTATTGTATTTTTCCAAAGCCTACGTGATTAACTATAAAAATAAAAACATTAACATGTTTTTTGTGATTATTTCAAAAACTATAAGAGATAGGTATAGGACATGTTGATAAAAGTCCTTCTACAAATTGATGAATTGAATAAGAGATAGGTATAGGACATGTTGATAAAAGTCCTTCTACAAATTGATGTAGTTTTGATTGCCGTTGAGAAAATAGAGTCATTTCATTTGAAAAAACTGAGTTAAAGCTGTTTGTTAATGATCATTTTCAAAAAATCATACTAGCCTTGCAATTTGACAGTCAACAATTTTGAAAATTCTAGAAAACTTTTCGAACCTTTGGTTTTCGAATGCAACAAAAAATATTCACTTATCGCAAAGGGTTCAAGAGCTGTGATGTTTTGAATGAACCCCTGCAAGTGAAAATTTTGACCAAAAAATTGACATATGTTAAAAACTATGATAGTTAAGTACTAACAACTAGGTACATTTTACTTAGTTTAAAGAGGAGAATTCAAAAATGCAATAAAAATAAGTGGGTACCATTTAAAATTTCAAAGTTGGCGCCAATTTCTCGTAGTTCCGGAAGTTCAGTCATTTTGAAAATAATTTAGTTGAACTCAGACTGGTTGATTTGGGTTGTGTACAAAATTTCAAATTCCTATCTGCTTTAGAAGTTAAAAAGTTTCTAATGTAGGCCCTAAAAGAATCACCTTGTATAGTTGTGAATTTTTCAAAATATTTTTTATTTATCTATTCAATTGAAAGTAAAATCGATAACTAAGCTTCACTTCAAACTGAATATACTGTTAAATATGAAATGACGTTTATAATGGAAAAGATTTATATTGTATCGTAATTTATTTTTGTGACATACTGTATGGTTGAAAATAATTTTCGGTGATGTACTAGATTAGTAAAGTTAAATGTCATTAGTGGACTTTTTCAACTCGCTGGGACACCCTGTATTAAAAAAAAAAAGATCTGCCTCCTCTTAATATAAGACTACGAGCCGCCACTGGATAAATCTGTGTTGGGGCAAGCTAAATGTTTGTGTCCAAGTCAGAGTGCAAAGAAACCACTAAGAATACTCACATTGGGAACATCAGCTGGTTTCGATATGTGATTAATGAGATTACTGGCTTCGAAAGGCGGCCTTAGTTGCGGGCCAGTTGTGGTGGGCGGCGCGGGGGTGGTCACGGGTAGAACGGATCCCAACTGGAATAATCAGCACATATCAAACAAAACTTTTGCAAATCTCAAATCCTCGTTATCAAACTTACCGCAATGTATTGCCAACCGTTATTAACTCGCACAAGAAGCGCTTCTTCTTCAATAACATAGGCCAAAGTTCCCACGGGACTGACCGACGACATCTTTATCATGGCGTCATGGTCCTGGAAAGTTACAGCTCCGGGCACAATGCGAGTCGCAACTTCTTGTTCAGAAGCCGTGAATATCGGTGGACTTGCTGTGGATCTGCCTAAAAGGGATTTCAAATAATGGAGACTATTTTCACGGGTCTGCGACACATGTTGTAGAATCAAACTTTAATCATAGTTAACTTAATAATACGCGTCTGGGGCGCGCTTAGAATGTACTGCTACAAGAATGTAGCATTGGATTAAGTTAAGAGAGTTAGTCAGAAATATTTACAATATAAGTTACCTAGCGAAAAAGGAACTATACAACTTTAATTTGTCATAAAGTTGTGAAACTCGTTGTTTTTCATTAAACAAAATATAATAATTTTCGAAAAATTAAATTATTGTAACAATTTCTAAGTCGAAAATGACAATTTTTATTTTTTATTTGTTTATATGTTCATTTTTTGTTGCAATAATAGAAAAGCTTCGATTTGAATTTGAAACACTCTTGACAATCTTAACATAAATTGCGATAATTTCATTGCAAATTGTTTTGTTGATTTACTTGCTAATTATAGTGTTGCTCTTTACTACATTTGTGAATAAAATAAAATATGTTATTCGGAGTAAAAGCTTAATTTGATGATCAGCTTCTCCACATATCTATCACTTTTACTCTTAATAACATAATATACTATTTGGTAATTGTGACTTTTTACAATGGTTGGTTAACGCTGTATCCACAGTAGTATGATATTGCATAAAGTGATGGCTATTGTTCACGAAGATGAAGTTTAAAAAACGAGCAAAACGCGAGTTTTTTAATAATCTGAGCGAATAATTGTCTAATATACGAGTAGAATACTATAATTCCAGAATTTTTTTATTTTTATCCTTATAATCATTTAATAAAAGAGTATGCCTTGTAGTTTTGAAAATTGATTTAGACCTTCAATTTAATAGTAGTAAAAATTGAAATATATTTTTAAATACTAGTAACTATTTAAATATTTATTAAGGAAAATACAGTAAGTCATAAAAATATAGGGTGTTAGGGGGTTTTTCTAAACCGCGTACACCACTGACCTTAATTCTGAAGGGTAGTGATTTTTTTTTAATATAAGATCTAATTCTCGTATGCTTTTTTAGACGCACTTTTTTCTTATTTCTAAAAAATCTTTAAACAATTTTTCGGGACCCCTGTTTTTTGCAAATTTTCTGAAGTCTCAATAATTTTGGGTAGTATTAAAGCGATCAGTAAATCATTCAATTTTGATCAGCATAAAATGATAAATGATCAGTATTTAATTATTTTTTGCACAGTAAAAAGAATAAATGTTAAGTAAAGCACGCACAGTATTTTATTGTAATTTGTTCAGTAAAAAAATCCAATTTGCACAGTAAAAATAATAAATGCTCAGTAACTTTAATCAAAATTAGTAAAACAACATAAAATTTAAAGAATTTTCAGTCTTGGTTAGATAACAATGTATAGCCCCTGCGCAAGAATGTTATTTATTATTGGTACTTATTTTTATATTACTGAATGTTTGTTATTATTGGAGGGTGGTATATGTATTAGCAAGAGCCCCTGCGCAAGAATGATTTTAGCAAGAGCTGGAAACTGTGCACAAATGGTAATCAGTCTTTGCACTGCTGTGCTCCTGATACCAGAATTTTGTTTTTGAACGTTTTGCAATATTCCGATTTTGTTCGGCAACATTTTCTTTGTAAATGTGTGAATATTAAATTAATTAGTTTTACTAGACATTCATTCATTGTCTGTTCTGTGCATTTATATTTATTATTTTCACTATGCATTTAGTTTGTTCCCAATTGTATTTTCTCCAAATCACCCTTTTGTAGAAACACCCACTCAGAAACAAAGTCAATTTTTTAATAAGAAAAAATATAAGGTATGTGAATATTCATTTTAAAAATCAAAGTTTGACATACACAGCTAAAGTTTTTCATAGTTTTTTTTGGAAAGATTATAAACAGTGCAAAATATAATAAAATACAATCAAATAACCCTTCTACAAGTCATTTACGGCATTTATGTGCAACACTATTCCTTTTATAAACTAGAACTAGTGTTAAAACTCAATATTACGAAACTTGTTTTCTCATATCAATTTACAAATGCCTATTTTGAGAATTATAATCTATTTTAACAATAATGTATTCACTAAAAGAGACTAATAATCAATGAGGAAATTTTAAAATATTGATGCTTTTATCTTAAAATTAATTAATTAATTTAATTTAAATTTCTAAAAATCAACAAATTTTCCTGTCTTTCGTCATAAGGTATATGCAAAAAATTAGGAGCACTCATAAATTAATTTTTAATCTGGTGGTGAAACATGGCCTAAAACTGGGTAAAAAATTACCAAAAAAAATTTACTTTTTCGCATAAATTGGACAGCGTCATGCTTACTAATTATGAGGCTAATTAGTATCACCATGTTTAATATTTGTAGAATTATTAATGGTAATAAACATTATTAAAGGAATAAAGTAGAGGCATTCACATCAAAAGCTCATGAATGGCATTGATTTGCCAGTAATAACATAATTTATCTATTTGTTCAAGCATTTTAAATTTCTGAAATTCAGGAAAATAAAATTTAAGGTCATCACTGTGCAGTTTAAACAGAATAAACAAACTCAAATGTAGAATTTAAAACTTAGTCAATTATTATTTGTTATTTGACTTGTTTATCTGACACAGATAACTAATAACACGTTTAATTAAATAAACTAGACAAAAAAAAACACAAAACAGTTAGACTTTGTGTCTAAGAGATTAAAAGTAGAGGGACAAACAATAAAAATAATCATTTCTTATAATTTTGGTACAGTAAATAAAAAAGATAAGATAAAATATGTGAATATAAAGTAAGTTAAACGAGTTTAAAAATAGATGTTTATTTAACAGAAAGTTGAAGTCTAAAAGTGTCAAATTTCATATGGAATAAGTAATTTATTTAAGTAAAATATTATAACTATCACTACCTGACTTCAAATCCTTTAGTTCTCTCAAAGCCTTCAATTCTTCCAAACTACTTCTTGTTCCTTGAAGCGTAAGCACAAAAAAGATTTTTAAAATTGTGTTAGTTTATTATATTAAAATTTTGACTCACTAAATGAATAAATTGACCCTTCTAGTCAAATTACTGACTAAATTGTGTTACTATTGTGGCAAAGTGCAATGTAATACCTCACCTGGTCGTAAGTTATACGTCGGTTCTCCATATGGCGTGCCGCCCGGTTCGCCTTTTGGTCCTGTTACCGAAACTCCGGGAATTCCGGGCGGTCCGGGAGGTCCAGGAGGGCCCGGCACTGGCACATATCGGATCGTTTCATCTGGAGAAGTCGGTCCAGGTAAACCCGGAGGACCCGGACTGCCGTCTCGCCCATCTCTTCCAGGAATTCCATCTAGGCCTTTATCACCTTTGTCGCCCTTATCACCTTTAGGCTGTTTGATAACAATAACATTGTCATTCAACTTTTAATAATGAAAATGTCTAAACGAATCATTTGTTTAGATTATCATTATTATTAATGTAGCAAATCGGCAACAACGGTAATAATAGTGCTTTATTAAACGCACGCAAATTCATCATTAAATAACGGCCTCATTTATCAGAATGTCTTGTCTCTTTTGGATAATAGATTTACTATAAAAGCGTTTCATAATTGTCTCAATAAGTAAACAAAACCAAATAATTTCTTTCAAGTTTGATTAAAATTGAAAAAACTCACCCCTCCCGAGTCTCCTTTTTCACCCTTTGGTCCCGGAATTCCTGGTAATCCTGAAGCACCCGGTCGACCCTAATATAAAAATAAACTGCAAGATCTGTATCACACTAACAGTTTAGATTACGAAAGAAGCATTCCCGAAACAATTTTCTACATCTAAAAGAGAATTTATTTAAGGCGTCTCACAAATCTTTAAAATGTATTATTTTTAAATGTTTCTACGCAAAGCAAACTTTTTGTATAAAAGAGATAAAAACCGTTTCTTTAGGGTGGAAAATTTGTTTGAATCAATTTTTTATCAAAAGAAAAAATGCGTGAGAACTTAATTTAATTTTACTCCAGAAAGACAAAAAATTAAACTAAAAAGAGTCTAATCCTCCTTAAAGGACTTTCGTGTTCCATTTTGCTACTTTCGTAAGGGTGATAAAAAGTCATTTGATGATAATGAAGGTATCGAAAAATTAGAATAATCAGAAAATAGGAACTTTTTCTAAACAAACAAGTCTTCAAACGAAAAAAAAAAATTGAATTTTTAAGAAAAACAGTAAACAAATTGATTGTGTTTTTTATAATTGGATATATCTCTTTGAGTATTTGTAATGGAATGCAAAATTCAATAGTTTTTATTTTTTTTATGAAAAAACGTATAATTCAATTTCCATGAAAAAATATAGTAACATAAGTAAGTAATCTACAAAACGCCAAAAATAAATAAAAAAATTCTTTTGAACAGTTTTTTTATAAAAAAATTAAATGGCCAAAAATAGAGGTTTCTTTTAAACTTTTAAACGACACGAACAAAAAAATTCAAATTAATATATGTATATTGTTGCTAAGGCCATCAAAAAGATGTTTTTTTTCAGAATTTTTGAATTATGATTTTTTTTTTATACAGTATATTTCAACCTTAATTTAAGTAATTATTAATAAATTTAATACTATTTTTTAATTCTTTTTTTTTCAATACAATTTCTTACCTTCCCATTCTGTTAGCAAGAATGTAAAAAAAGATATAATTTCCGAGTCATAGAAATTAAAAAAACATACCATCCACCCAGGAAGTCCTATTTCTCCCACAGGACCCGATTTTCCCGGAGGGCCTGCTGGTCCTGGAGGTCCGGGTTTTCCCCGTCTGCCTCGTCTACCCATATCTCCTTTATCACCCTTAAAAAAAATTAAATTGTACAAACATTTAACAAAAATGTTAAGTTGAAAGTTTGCTTTCTTTTTTTTTCATTACAAAATTTGCTTTTTATATTAATTTGAAATAAAAGTTAAAAAATTCTTAAATTCTTGTTTTATTTGTGTTTGTATATATTGTGTCAATGGTAATATTTACAAAACAATAATAAACCTTCCGCAGGTTTTTTCGTAATTTTTTATTTTGATGATTGGTTTTATATTTTTTTCTAAAGTGTTAAATCCTGTTTTTTTTTGGTATGAATTCTTGAAAAGTGAAATACTCTTAATAAATTGTTATTATTTCAACTTGTAATTAGTTTAAAAAAATAATTGTCAGATAAATAAAGAATAAATCTTCTAATTTTTTTCTTGACGAAAGTTCGAATATTGTGGTTGAGTTGATACATTATGAAATAAAAATTATTTGAAAGAGATTCCACCAACCATAAATTTAAGGCTTTTTTATCGATAAATTGTGACTAAGTCAAAATATTTTTATAAAAGTCGAGACGGTCACATAAAAATTAAAATTTCAAAGATTTTTTTGGATTATAAACGCATTTTTTTACGTTCTTTGACGATAATTTATAATAAATGTATTTTTATTTATAAATTCCTCACCTTTACTGTTATAATTTCTTCATTTCCGTTGGGCATAATGATGCTTCCCGGCGGCCCCCTTTCCCCCTTTTCTCCCTTAGACCCTGGGGGGCCCACTGGCCCAATAGCCCCACTTTCCCCCTGTTCCCCCTTCTCCCCAACTCCACCTGGCACTCCTTTCATTCCCGGAACTCCCGGTATTCCAGCTTCTCCCTCTTCACCCTTGTCCCCCTTTGGACCTTTTTCGCCCGGTTCTCCCTTCTGTCCCGGTAAACCCGGTACAATACCCGTCATGTCACCACTATACGCAATCCCGGGCGGGCCTGGTGGTCCTTGAGGCCCCACAGCCCCCTTTTCTCCCTTATCGCCATGCTTTCCGGGATTTCCGGGTATTCCGTCCAAACCCGGACTCCCGGACTCTCCTTTAACACCCGGGGGACCTCTTTCACCGGGAAAACCTCGATCTCCTCGTTCGCCTTTCGGGCCGGGATCCCCGCGAGATCCCTTCGTTCCCACGGGACCTTTTTCTCCTCGAGGGCCGGAAGGGCCGGGTTTGCCGGGCTCGCCTTTGGCTCCGGGGACGCCAGGACGTACAAGAGGTCCTCCAAGGACTGTCTCCTAAAGAAAAATAACAAAATAAATTACTAAAAATAACATTTAATTTGATTGAAATGTGCTAGCGTAGATTTTCTGAAAAAGGCCCCATTTAAGTAAAAAGTGTTGTACCTTAAACGGACCTCTAGGTTTCCAACTCGGCTGCTTGTGAAAGTGAAAGTGTGGTAGCAAATTAACAAATTAATTTTAATTAATTATTGAGGTACTCACGTCGACATTTTCGAATTCGACTGGACCAGGGGGTCCTGGAGGGCCCGGAGCACCTGGTTTTCCAGGAAGTCCATCCTTCCCAGGTTCACCCTTAGGTCCTTGCAGTCCAATTGGTCCTTGAGGACCACGCTCACCCCTCTCACCTTTATCCCCCGGAAGGCCCGGGATACCTTTATCCCCAGGAAACCCCGGTTGGCCTGTCATACCAGGAGGGCCTGGCTTACCCTCACCCATTGAGTTTGTTGATGATAAGGAACTTATCAAACTAGTAAAATTACAAGAACACACCCCCTAAAACCAAAACTTGAATTTTTCTGGTGGAAAAATCGCAATTGGTACCTCGGGGGCTGCAGGTCCTGGCAAGCCAGGAGGGCCTGGGGGACCCGGTGGTCCCCTGATTGATTCGCCAGGAGGGCCCTAAAATAATTAATTAAAAAAAATACAACTTTTGCTTCAGTTTTACCCTTGGGCCTCTGTCGCCTTTTTCGCCCTTATTTCCGAGGCTAGCTTTGATATCATTGAAAAGATAGTTGCAACAATTCTCGTTATCACAAATGCAAGGCTTACCATTTGGGGGTGGGGGTGGAGGTGGAATAAAACCGTAGTCTTCTGATCCACTTCCTTCTCTGAATGTTCCATCATAGTCGCTGCGTTCGACCTAAATTAAGATCAGTTTTTATCATTGAACTTCACAATAATGCTTATTCAAGCAAAGACTTAAATATTTAACAGTTTGTGTTATTCACTCCTACAATTTCAACGAATTAACACAACGAATAATTTATGATACTAAAATAACAACACGAAAGCTTTGGAATCTTCATAAAGTTCGACTTTTGAAGTTTGTTTGCCAAATTTGTTTATTTTTATTTAAGTTTGTAAAATATAATGATCTGGAACAAATAAACGGAGTAATTCTATTTTAATTTACTTGAAAGTTATGATTAAATTGAACATAAAAATGAAGTACTACATTTTAAATTAAATCTCCTACATATTCTGAATAAAGTAGTTAAAAATAGAAATATTATTTATACTGGCAGTTTTTTTGTAAGTAATTAGTTTGTTAGTACGTACATCAATATTGATCGGTGTTTAGTGCAGTTATTAGTAGTTACTTTGCATTATTACTTACTTCATCTATTTCGTTTTCGTTTTCGGGATTGAGCTTTTGAAAACCCTGGTTGAAAAAAATAAAGAAATTAAGAACTAAAATCTACATAATAAGGTGGCAAAAGAAATCTAGCACTTAGTCCGATTACTTATTTAATTCTTCAATAGAAACTAAATCACAAACCTGAAAATCTGTTTTACATTGATCTGCTGCCATGTTAGGATCGCGGAATATTTTCACTTGGTCCAAGGCGCCCTAAATAAAATCAATTAATAAAATGGTTCATCGTTTTGAGAAGCGACCATCATCCTCTGTAATTACCCCATTTACACAATTTTCCGTTTTTTAGAATAAAATAATTAAAAAAGCGTGAATTCTATAGGCAAGGTATAAATAGAAACAAATTTCTGGTAAACAAAGACTTAGTTTGAAAGATTGGAAATTACAAAATATTTTTTTCCAACCAAACTTTGATAATTTTCAAACTGTGATGCTAGAAAACTCTATTTTTCTGTTTTTATAAGCCAAAACTGTGATGCTAGGGAACTCTATTTTTCTGTTTTTATAAGTCTTTTTTTTTTCTTTATTTTATCTACTCTATGGAAAAATACTCTAAAAAATTAATGTCCTTGAATATCCAATTTTTACTGGTGTACCGCTGTGGAATTATGGTGTTCAAGTTGGTGGAATTACGTGGAATTTTGTGTTTGATTGTGTTTACTTTGATATTAGGTAGTTATTAAAAATAAAAGATTAAATAAAAAAAAAACAAAACTACAAAAGGTAATTAAAATTAGAGAAATTTTGAAATACTGTTATAGAGGGTGGTAAAATGTTAAAATGTTAAAAAAATTCCATTTATTAAAATTTTGAAATTTTGCATTTTGACTCTATTTATTTCTGTTGGAAAAATAATTTTTCAAGTTTTTTTTGGCTGCAGGCTATTCGAAGAGGAAACCAGGAAGTTGGATCCTAAATTGTAACTCTATTTAATGTTATTTGTGGCTTTTATTAGTAAAATGTTTGTACCTTTTATATTATAAAAAAGTTATAAAAAAACATACAAGATCATCATAAAAAATGTCAAATGTCAAAAAATAAATGTCAAAATCTCCATATTCCTGGTATGTTTTCTTTCTTTCTTGCAACTTTTTTTCTCTGGGGCTTGAGTTCTGACACACCCTGTATTTCTCATAGTGAAAAAATTATGTAAATATAAAAAAATAATATCAGGAAATTATTTAATCAAGCAGAGACTATAAATAATATCACATTAGTTTACTTTTATTTAAATTTGGAATTGTTTGGAAATATGTGGAATTATTTGTAATTATTTGGAATTATTTTAGAATTATCAGTGTAAATAATGGAATTATGGTATAACGAGAAGCGCTTAACTCCTCGGGTTCAATCAAAATATCCACCTTTTTTTGTAAGTCAGCAGAAAAAAATCGTAAATATCGAGAAAGTTAGAATCGACTTTAAAAAAGTGTTATTAGATATTTTATTCTTCAACACTGTCAAAATTTACGGTTTTTCTCCCGTGTAAGGAAGTTTTGACAACTGTTTGGCATTTCTCAATACAAAACGTCAAATTATTTTTAACAGATTTAAAGCAAGTTTAAGCCTTGTTGACTCTAATTCGAAGAATAAAATGTTGTATTCCACTCGTTTGAGTGTAAATCGGACGCTTTATTCCACCTCGTGGATGGTAAACCACTCGTTACACTCGTGGTTTAAAAATCCACTCGGTCAAATAAAGAGTCTGATTTACACTCAAACTCGTCGAATAAATAACTATTTTTATCAAAATTGGGAGTTTGTGAGTTTTCTAGTTTAAGTATTTTAATGTTTTATTAGTGTTGAAAATTTTAGAAGCAAGTAATATTGATTTTATAAGAAATAAATTGCCAAAAAATGATGAATTTGTTTCTACAAATGAGTTAATTATAATATATAATGATGTTTATAAAAAGTGTTACTGTTTAGTCAGTCTGGATAATTAATCAGTTTTGGTGGATGCGCCGGGCTAGAACATGCACAAAACGCAAATTTGTAATTAAATGATAAGCATGTTCTAATTAAAGCCTTCAGAATTAAAGTATTTGTAAATTAACGTTTCATATTTATAATTTTTGCTGCCTCTAATAGAACCGCTTATTTGATTATCTTTTGAAAGATAATAAACAAACTTGCAAGCTTAGCACAAAAATACGATTATAAAATTGTAAAGTGTCTATCCTGTTTTATATCTTAATTTATTACATTTTTAATACCTCACCCTCAATAATTCAGCACCTTTCTTCTTAATATTTCATAAAAATACTTGTCAGTCTAGACACGTCGACTTTTTTATGATGTCGTATAATTTTATTAACGCATTCCTAAGGTGGAAAGGCACTTGTTAAGTTTAATTTATCACCAAAAACGCATTTTTGTAGTGTTAATTTTACTAATTCTCAACATTAACATTACAGAAGAACGTTAATAGAATTTTATTCCGTTCCAAATGTCGAGCAAAAGTGCAAACGCATAACATATTGGCTTTCCGGTGGCCGAATAAGTGAATTTGCATGGTAATTTAGAATTGCGGTGGCCATCGTTGACACTAATTTAATAAATTTTTTCACCTCATATTTGTGCAAATATTTCACTAACACTTCAAAGGGTGTTTTGCCGTTGTCGTATAAAGTGACAATGCTATTATGCCCCTGTTTAAAATTCAAGAGTTTATTATCGTCAATATTATGAAAGTTTAGGGACTGAGCCCTTCGCTACGATTAGCAACATGGGTGTCATTCTGAAACGACTGAAAGAAAAGAACTCGCACAAATAAAACTGCTATCTTTTTTATGTGTCAATAAAAACAATTTATTGTTGGCTTTTACTATAATCTGTACTCAAGCGTTTAAAAGCTGTGGGAGGAAACAAATATTAACGAAAGAGAAAAATAACGTTAAGTGTCTTTGATTTGTCGACTTGTAGAGTTGAGATAGAAACGATCCAAACTGAATGATTTAACTAGGCAATAAATTGTAACTCTTGTTGTTATCTTCGGTGGTGGTCAGCGATATTCTTGATGGATGAATGAGTAATTCAACATTATTTATATCGCAAACTTTCTTAAAAAATTTATAGTAAACATTTTTTAAGTTTTTGATTAATAAATCAACGGCTGATAATAATACAGGGTGTCTCAGCGAGTTGAAAAAGACCATTAGTGACCTTTAAATGATAAATTTAAAAAAGTATTGTATAGAACATTGATAGTGCATCACCTAAAATTATTTTCAACCATACAGCATGTCCCAAAAATAAGTTACAATCCAAACTTGTGTTTTTTTAAATGAAACACATTTTTGGATGTAGTCTTTTAAAACAATGTTTTTAAACTTTTATTAGTCGATATTGCTTAGTTTTTTTTTGACGAAAACGTGCATTTAAAAAAAATATTACACAAAAACTAAGACAGCTAGAACAAATTTTCTCTTACTTCTGCAAAGAAGAAAGTACAGAAATTAAAGCTGTAGCAATTTTTTAGTGTTTTGCATTTGTAAAGATTAATAAATTAAGAAGAGTGTTAAAAGTTAAATAACTTAAAAAAATTTAATGGAACACCCAATTTTTTATTTTTGGATCTAATAGATTGATAAATATAAAGTCGTTATAAATACTGAAATTCGAATTATTTTATTGTAAAAATAAAGAATAATGGATTCAGTTTAACACAAATGTGATTATTAAGTGATATTTCTTCCATCTCTTGTGCAACTGTGCACTTTTTGGCTACTGAAAAAATAGTAATTATTTTTTTTAATGTTTAACGTTCAATATCTTTTTAGTTATTGATTATAAACACCTAAAAGTAAATAATTTTAGAAAGACAATTTAATAATCTTTTAAATGCAAAAACAATAAATAGGGCGTTCCATTTAATTTTTTTAAGTTGTTGAACTTTTAACAAACGACTTCATTTTTTATCTTCGCAAATGCACACACTAAAAAAATGTTACAACCTAGTTTGTACCTTCTTTTTTGCGGCAGTAAAAAATATTTCCAGATGTCTTAGTTTTTGTGTGATAAATTTTTAAAAAGTGCAAGTTTGCGTCAAAAAACCGTGTTATTTTTAAAACTAAGCAAAATCGACCAATAAAAGTTTAGCTGAAAAACATTGTCATATAAATCTACATCCAAAAACGCTAAGAAACATTTGGTGTTTCATTAAAAAAAACACAAGTTTGTATTGTAACTTATTTTTGAGACACGCTGTATAGTTGAAAAAAAATTTAAGCGATGGACTAGATTAGTCAATGTCCTATATATTTTTTTAAATTTTTTCCATTTAAAGGTCACTAATGAACTTTTTCAATTCGCTGGGACACCCTGTATGTAAAAAAAGTTTTGTTAATATTGAAGAAAAATAGACACACAATGTGTAACAACACATTACCTAGCATTGGAAAAATGTTACAGAAGATGTATTTTTGAACTAAAACAGGAAAGTGCTTTAATTATCTAAAAAACAGTTTTGTAAACAAGCTTTTAAGTTTTAATAAAATATTCTTGTCTTCTCAAAAACACCGAATTTTATTTTTAACCGAATACCTTTAAACTAATTGTCGATAAATATTAATAAACCAAAATTGAGTTTGGTCTTGTGTTTTCAATAACTTCGTGTTTCCATAAATTTAATTACCGTAATTTAATTTACTAGAATGCAGCATATTATAGACATTCTTTGGGTTGCGTTCTTTTCGTCTAATTTTATTTTTGAAGTAATTCTTTGCCTTTGTAAGATGACAATTTTAATAACTCCACGTTCATGCTTATTAAATGTGTTAATTACTGTTGTTACTGCAACTGTAATAAAATACGATATTATGCAGCATACTGTTGTTTATGTCCAAATGTTTAACCGTTTTAATAATTTCATGACTTGGATCGGTCGGAATTTGAACAACCTGAATTGTGCTGACCGCGTAATGAAATTAGACAAGTTTAGCATTGCTGTATAGCTGGGAAGTTAACCGAGATTTCGTGGACAAATAAGAAAATAATACCACCTACAATGAATAGTTTCTCGATTTGTTTTTTTTTTCAAGGTGAAATTTTGTCACAATAATAACTACAATTACGCTAATAAATTAACAAAAAATTGTAAATGATCAGAACTGAATTATTTAGAAATAGAATAGAATGTGTTATTGTCATTATAGCTATTATTTGAGCAAATGAATAATAAATGCTCTATCAAT